GTTGCTCTCGGCCTTGCAGCTCACAGGCACTGTTCAGGGATGTTGCAGCTGCTGAGCACGGGGCAGGTGTGGGTCTGGGGACATGAGTGGGGACCTGCGGGCTCTCAGCACAGTAGTTCAGCTGGACACCTCAAGGGGAGAAGGCAACTCTGCAGGCACTGTGGGAGTGCCACACCGCATGTGGGTATCACATGTCACCCTAAGCCGCTGGATTTATTTTATGTGCACAGCAGCATCTTCTGTTTTCACCTTGCAAGACAAAGGAGACAAAGGAAAAGCACGTTGGATGCTTCTGGAGATGAAATGAATCAGCTGTGCAAACCCAAGTCCTTCTCTCCCTGCTACGCAGCTGGATGGTCTTGCAGGCTGGCAGGAGCTGTCTGCAATGGGCTGCAGCATGGCACATAGCCCCTCCTGCCCTCTGCACCGACAGTGCCATGGGGGGGCTCCCAGTGGGTGCCCAGCACCCCGCCTGCATCAGGCCAGGCAGGGCCGAAAGCAGGGACCCCCCAGCTGGAGCGGGCTGCTGCTGGGCACCTCCGGCCAGGGCAGACCTCAGCCCCTCACCTGCCCTCCTGTGGAGTCCCAGCAGGACTTTCATAGAATGGTTTGGGTTGGAAGGGACCTTAAAGATCCCCTAGTTCCAACCCCCTGCCATGGGCAAGGTCACCTTCCACCACACCAGGCTGCTCAAAGCCCCATCCAACCCGGCCTTGAACACTTCCAGGGATGGGGCATCCACAGCCTCTCTGGGCAACCTCTTCCAGTGCCTCACCACCCTCGCAGTAAAGAACTTATTCCTTACATCTAATCTAAATCTACTCTCTTTCAGTTTAAAGCCAATACTCCTTGTCCTATCACTACATGCCCTTGTAAAAAGTCCCTCTCCAGCTTTCTTGTAGGCCCCCTTTAGGTACCGGGGGCTGCTATAAGGTCTCCCTGGAGCCTTCTCTTCTCCAGGCTGAACAACCCCCACTCTCTCCGCCTGTCTTCATAGCAGAGGTGCTCCAGCCCTCTGGTCATCTTCATGGCCCTCCTCTGGACTCACTCCAACAGGTCCATGTCCTTCTCATGTTGGGGGCCCCAGAGCTGAAGGCAGTACTCCAGGTGGGGTCTCACGAGAGCAGAGCAGAGGGGGAGAATCACCTCCCTCGACCTGCTGGTCATGCTTCTTTTGATGCAGCCCAGGATACAGTTGGCTTTCTTGGCTGCAAGTGCACATTGCTAGCTCATATTCAGTTTTTCATCCACTAATACCCCTAAGTCCAATCCACTCTCCACCCAGCCTGTATTTGTGCTTGGGATTGCCCCGACCCATGTGCAGGACTTTGCACTTGGCCTTGTTGAACTTCATGAGGTCCGCACGTGCCCACCTCTCAACCTTCCTATGGATCCCTTCCCTCCAGCGTGTCGACCACACCACACAGCTTGATGTCATTGGCAAACCTGCTGAGGGTGCACTGAATCCCACTGTCCATGTCACTGACAAAGATGTTAAACAGCACCAGTCCCAATACCGACCCCTGAGGAACGCCACTCGTCACTGCTCTCCACTCGGACATCGAGCCGTTGATCGCAACTCTTTGAGTGCGACCATCCAGCCAAGAGGCAGAGGGCTCGCTTCAGCATGGTGCTGAGCCCAAACAAGCATCTCAGTGGGCGCTGGGCTTTACACCAAGGGGCCCGGCCAGCTTGCCCCGGCCACGCAACAGCTCGTGTGCGCTGACCGGTGCGCGCCCGGCCCATGCAGCTCTCCGACTGCAGTTTTCTGATAGGAAAATGGGAGCATTAGCACGTTCACTTCTCAGGGCCAGCAACAGCCTTCCTAACGCTGCAAAAGTGCTGTGCTAGAGCCGCCAAAGACAGGAAATGCAGCGTGTTACAGATCCACACCCACCCCCGGCCTCTGGAAACCATAGATGCGGTCAGGCGTCCCCTGGTACCAGCTGTGGCTGAGCAGCCTCGGGGGATGGCGGTGACGACGCTGCCCTCCACTGAGGGGCGATTTTTGAAATGTAAGCAAACAGGCAAGCGATTTTGATAATTTTACACCAGTCACTGGTTACTTGCAGTTCCCAAGTAATCTGCTAGATGGCATAATGTAATAATAAGAATGATAATAACGATAATGATACACGGGTTTGTTTTAATTGATCCAAACTCTAGAAATGATTTGTCACATAATTTAAGCAGGTGTTTACACACTTTACTGCCCGAGTACGTACCGCTCCCCTTTTGTCGAGCGTTGATTCAAACCCTGACGAAGTGCCGTTCTCTGCAACCCTGAAATTTCTATTCTTTCTGGCAGAGGCTATGATACATGACACGAGAAGCTACAGCAACGACACAGAGACCAACTTTCTCATTACATCCGTGACTGTACTCGAGCAACCCCAGCAAGAAATTACAAGACAGTTTCTTGTTAGTCGGCTGCTGCGTATAAATAAAGAGCAAAGCATTACTCATACATAATAGCTTTTATTTGCTGCAGGCCCTTCGGCTCTCAGAGCCGGACTAACCAAATCAAAGGGAAGATTATGTTGCAAGAGTGGGACTCCTCCACGGCACGCCCTGGCCGTGAAGGCTGTGGGGGTTCGGGTTCTCGGGGCCTGGGGACTCCCGGAGCGTGGGGCCCCGCAGCCGCCTTGGGATTTTTGTCAGTGGGGAAGGTTTTGTGCTGCCTGTTGTCCCCCATTCCCCCCGCCCCGGCTGCCCTCTCCATCCTCCCCGCCCCCGCTGCTGGAGGCTGCAGGGGAGCGCTGTGGCACCCACCCACCCTCCACGCGTGGCCGTGGGGACGGCTCTCGCGGGAGGACCCTGGGCGGGCCGCGCCGTAGGGAGCGAGCCGGGCGCCGGGGGGACGACGACACGACGACGCCCCGGGG